CCAACAGCGGGGAGGTGGAAGCAGGCATCCGTGCATGCCAGTCTTGTGCTCTGTGTGGCTTGTAGGGCATGTTCCAAGCGGCCGCCGCACTGGCTACTGTACCTCACATAAGACCAGCAGCCACGTCCCCCCAAACAGCTGCTCTGACATGACACTGACGTGTGCCAGGCCTCACACTGAGCATAAGACCAGAGCACAAATGGCCATTTCTTCCTCCCCACTGAGGCCACAGCTGCTTGTGTTCCAAGTGGTGGCAGCGCTGGCTACTGTGCCTCACATGGGTCCCCCCCCACACTGCTCCTCCAAGGTGATGCTACTGCGCACTACCAGTTGCACTGAGCACAGGACTGACTTGCACAGATGCTCACTTTTGCCTCCCCATCGTTGGAAAAATTGCAGCACTTCGCAAGGGACTTGGCTGCCAGGCATATTCTATGAAAATCAACACTTCATGCGTGGCACTACTGGGCATTTTCAAAAAAAGATCTCCGATTATAACAGGGCCTTAAGTATAACTATTGACTTCACTGTGTGCTGTACAGTTTCACACCCATTGTTGGAAAGGTACAAATAATAATAATAATACATAACGAAACTATGCATGCTTAGAGCCAGGCTGAATTTGGCCTTGAGTATTTATCTGGGTGAGTCTCGTTTTCCCCTTGGAAGATTAGCATCCTCAATGGATGGCTTACGTGGCCACAAAGTGGCCTTAGCAGACTGGAAAAACCAGCCCCATATAGTCCCATGCTGCATTTGATGCAATGTCAATGATTTTGTTGAATTCGACATGATACTTCCCTTGGACCTCAAACTACAGCGCTCTGCATGCTACAATTTAATCATGGTTATTGCTGGCATGATTTTGACTGTAGCGCAGACAGGACCAAAATGTCTTTAAATGAAGGACATCGTTTCTGAAGGAACTCTCTCCACTTACAGGTTTCAGAGTGGTAGCCGTGTTAGTCTGGATCAGCAAAAACTGACCCCCCACTTGGTTAGGCAACTCCCATCTTTTCATGTTCTATGTGTGTAATGTGTGTGTGTATATATATATATACACACACACACATCTGCTACTGTATTTTCCACTCCATGCATCTGATGAAGTGGGCTGTAGCCCACAAAAACTTAGGCCCAAATAAATGTGTTAGTCTCTAAGGTGCCACAAGGACTCCTCGTTGTTTCAATACTTACAGTCTCCTCTATCTGAACAGCTTCACCATAGATATTTGCCACCAGGACTGTATTGCAGTTTCCCCCTGAAAAAGACAGCAAGGGGGAGGAATGTGACTTCCTCTGTGCTGGGTTCCTTCCTGGAGAATTTTACATTCTGTAGTGAGTGAAGAATGAAAGACACAGCACGACTACAATGAACATAGCTAGTTTGTAATTTTTCCTCCAAGGACACAGGAAGGGTTATCGGTGGTGACCATGAAAGATAATGCTCATAAGCATGGTGGTATGGAACGAGTTAAGGGAATAGCCAATATTCTGGCTCCAGCCTTCGGAGTTAGTGTGAAGTATGCGGCAATGCAAACTGTAAATGGCTGGAGTGGGGTAAAAGCTGAAAGATGGAATTTTAAAAGCGCTCAGTGTTGGCCTCTCATCCAATGAAATCAGAGGGAGGAGCAGGATTGGGCCAATGCTGAGAGCTTTGAAATTCCACCCT